CCCAGATGAAATGGAACAATTTCATTAAGATACAATCCACCAACACTCATGAGAGAAGAAATAGATAATCTGATTAGCCTCATATCTAATAAAGAAATTGAATCAATAATTAATAACCTTCCAAAACAGAAAACACCAGGCCATAAAGGCTGCAGTCCTTAGGCAATTCCTGCAGCTGTGCTGGCTCGGAACCAGTGAAGTTGGGGCCCATGTGATCCAATGAGACAGCAGCAATGGTGGCCAAACCAATGCCTGTGTCACCTCTCCCCAGCTATAGGCAGTGTGGCCTAGGGAGTCTCCTTCCACTTGAGGAAAAGAAAGGGAAAAGTTTAGAGGACTTTGTTTTGCAACTTGGGTACCAGCTCAGCCATAGTAAAATAAAGTACTAAGCAGACTCCTGAAGCCCCTGAATTCAAGCCTTAGTTCCTGGATGGCATTTCTGGACCCACCCTGAGCCAAAAGGAAACACACTGCCCTGAAGGGAAGGATCCAGTCCTGGCAGGATTCACCACCTACTGACTAAAGAGCCCTTGGATTTTTTTTTTTTTTTTTGAGACAGAGTCTCACTTTGTTGCCCAGGCTAGAGTGAGTGCTATGGCATCAGCCTAGCTCATAGCAATCTCAAACTCCTGGGCTCAAGTAATCCTGCTGCCTCAGCCTCCCGAGTAGCTGGGACAACAGGCATGTGCCACCATGCACAGCTAATTGTTTCTATATATATTAGTTGGCCAATTAATTTCTTTCTATTTATAGTAGAGATGGGGGTCTCTCTCTCGCTCAGGCTGGTTTCAAACTCCTGACCTCGAGCAATCCGCCCACCTCAGCCTCCCAGAGTGCTAGGATTATAGGCGTAAGCCACTGCGCCCAGCCAAGCCCTTGGATTTTGAATAAACACCAGAGGTATCTAGGTGACAGTCACCCTGGGCTTTCGGTGAGACTGGGCTGGCCTTAGGTGTGACCTGGAGCTGGTGGCCACGAGGGAGTGCCCACGTCACTCCTCCTCCAACTCTAGCAGCCCAGCACAGAGAGTGAGGGAAGAAAGTAAGAGATTTTGCCTGGTAATCCACAGAATTCTACTATATCTTACCTATGTCCACCAAGGCAGTACCACCAGGAGTCTGTAAGAGTCACAGCATTAGTGGGGTTGGGGCATCCCCAGTGCTGATATAGCTGCAGTGACCAAAGACTTAGATCACAATATTCAATTCCCTTTGAATATCTGGAAAGCCTTCTCAAGAAGGATGGGTTCAAACAAGTCCAGGCTACAAAGATTAAAATAAATATCTAACTCTTCAATGCCCAGACATTGACAAACATCCACATGCATCAAGAATACCCAGGAAAACATGACCTCACCAAACTAAATAAAGTACCAGTGACCAATCCTGGAGCAATGGAGATATATGATCTTTCAGACAAAGAATTCAAAATAGCTATCCTGAAGAAGTTCAATGAACTACAAGACAACACAAAGAAGGAATTCCGAAGCCTATCAAAGAAATTTAACAAAAAGATTGAAATAATTTTTTAAAAATCAAGCAGAAACTCTAGAGCTTAAGAATTCAATTGACAAACTGAGAAATGCATCAGAGTCTCTCAACAGCAGAATTGACCAAGCAGAAGAAAGAATTAGTGAGCTTGAAGATAGGCTATTTGAAAACACAGTCAGAAAAGACAAAAAGAATAAAAAAGAATGAAGCATACCTACAAGATCTAGAAAATAGCCTCAACAGGGCAAATCTAAGAGTTATTGGCCTTAAAGAGGAGGTATAAAGAGAGATTTGGGTAGAAGCTTTATTCAAAGAAGTAATAACAGAGAACTTTCCAAACCTATAGAAATGTATCAATATTTATTTACAATAAGGTCATATAACACCAAGCAGATTAACCCAAACAAGACTATCCAAACAAGGCATTTAATAATCAAGATTCTAAAGGTCATGGATAAAGAAAAGGTCCTAGGGGAAGCAAGAAAAAAGAAACAAATAATAACATATAAAGGAGCTCTGATATGTCTGGCAGCAGACTTCTCAGTAGAAACCTTACAGGCCAAGAGAGAGTGGCATGATATATTCAAAATGCTGAAGGAAAAAAAACCTTAACCCTAGAATATTATATGCTGCAAATATATCCTTCAAACATGGAGGAAAAATAAAGACTTTCCCAGACAAATAAAATCTCAGGGATTTCATCAACACCAGGCCTGTCCTATAATAAATGCTAAAAGGAGTTCTTCTATCTGAAAAAAAGAACATTAATGAACAATAAGAAATCATCTGAAGGTATACAACTCACTGGTTACAATAAGTACACAAATACAAAATACTCTATTGCTGTAACTGTGGTATATAAACCATTATATCTTGAGTAGGAAGACTAAAAGACAAATCTATCAAAAATAACTACAATAACTTTTTTGAGAGATAGATAGCATAAAAAGATATGGATAGAAACAACAAAAAAACCTAGGGGATGTAATTAAAGAATAGAATTTCTGTTAGATTTCTCTTAGCTTGTTTATTTCTTTGTATGTAGGCAGAGTTGCATATGTTTAAAATAATTGGTTTTAAAATGTTCTTTGCAAGCCTCATGGTAACCTCAAAAAAAAAAAAACCTACAACAGATACATAAAAAATAAAAAGCAAGAAATTAAAACACACTACCAGAGAAAATCACTTTTAACAAAAGAAGATAAGAAAAAAGTAAGAAAGAAAGAGAGGACCACAAAACAACCAAAAATCAAATAATAACATGCCAATAGTAAGTCCTTACCTATCAATAATAGCATTGACTGTGAATGGACTAAACTTCCAATCAAAAGACATAGAGTGGCTGAATGGGGAAAAAAAAGAGCCAACTATATGCTATTTGCAAGAAACACACTTCACCTATAAAGACATATACAGATTGAAAATAAAGGGATGGGAAAAGATATTCCACACAAATTGAAACCAAGAAAGAGCAGGAGTAGCTATACTTCTACCACATAAAATAGATTTCAAGACAAAAATTGTAAAAAGAGACAAAGAAGGCCATTATATAATGATAAAGGGGTCAATTAGGCAAGAGGCTATAACAATTCTAAAACATATATACACTCAATGCTGGAGCACCCAGATATATAAAGCAAATATTATCAGAGCTAAAGAGAGAGATAGACCCCAATACAATAATCACTGGGGACCTCAAAACCCCACTTTCAGCATTGAACAGATCATCCAGATAGAAAATCAACAAGGAAACACTGAACTTAATTTGCACTACAGACCAAAAGGATCTAATAGATATTTACAGAACATTTCATCCAACAGCTACAGGATACATGTTCCTCTCCTCAGCTCATGGATCATTCTCAAAGATAGACCATATGGTAGGCCACAAAACAAATCTTGAAAAATTCAAAAAAGTTGAAATCATACCAAGTACTTTCTCTGACCAAAATGGAATAAGACTAGAAATCAATAACAAGAGGAAAATGGGAAAATATAGAAACACATGGAAACTAAGCAATATGCTCCTGAATGACCAGTGGGTCAAGGAAGAGATTAAGATGGAAATTTTAAAATTTCTCAAAACAAATGAAAATGAAAACACAACATATCAAAACCTAAGGGATATGACAAAAGCAGTAATAACAGGGAAATTTACAGCAATAAGTGCCTACATCAATAAAGTAGAAAAGCTTCAAACCGTTTCAAATAAACAACTTAATCATGCATTTCAAAGAACTAGAAAGATAAGAGCAAAGCAAACCCAAAATTAGTAGAAGAAAAGAAATAATACAGATCAGAGCAGAAATAAATGAAATTGGCTGGGTGTGGTGGCTCACGCCTGTAATGCTAGCACTCTAGGAGGCCAAGGCGGCCAGATTGCTCAAGGTCAGGAGTTCGAAACCAACCTGAGCAAGAGCGAGACCACAGCTATACTATAAATAGAAAGAAATTAATTGGCCAACTAATATATATACAAAAATTAGCCAGGCATGGTGGCGCATGCCTATAGTCCCAGCTATGCAGGAGGCTGAGGCAGCAGGATTGCTTGAGCCCAGGAGTTTGAGGTTGCTGTGAGCTAGGCTGACGCCACGGCACTCACTCTAGCCTGGACAACAAAGTAAGACTCTGTCTCAAAAAAAAAAAAAAGCGAAAAAGTCTCCCATCAAAGAAAAGCCCAGGATCTGATGGCTTCACTGCTGAATTCAACCAAGCATTCAAAGAATAACTAGTCCCTTATCAGATGTGTAGCTTCTGAATATTTTCTCCCATTCTATAGGCTGTCTATTTGCTCTGCTGATAGTTTCCTTAGCTGTGCAGAAGCTTTTTAGTTTAATCAAATCCCATTTGTTGGCCAGGCGTGGTGGCTCACGTCTGTAATCCTAGCACTCTGGGAGGCTAAGAGGGGTGGATTGCCCAAGGTCAGGAGTTCAAAACCAGCCTGAGTGAGACCCCGTCTCTACTAAAAATGGAAAGAAATTAATTGACCAACTAAAAATATATATACAAAAAAAAATTAGCCAGGCATGATGGCGCATGCCTGTGTTCTCAGCTACTCGGGAGGCTGAGGCAGTAGGATCGCTTGAGCCCAGGAAATTGAGGTTGCTGTGAGCTAGGTTGATGCCATGGCACTCACTCTAGCCTGGGCAACAAAGTGAGACTCTTGTCTCAAAAAAAAAATCCCATTTGCTAATTTTTGTTGTTGTTGTGATTGCCATTGGGGCCTTAGTCATAAATTCTTTGCCAAAGCCAATATCTAGAAGAATTTTCCCACATTTACCTCTAGAATTCTTATAGTTTCGTGCCTTAAAGTCTTTTATCCTTGAATTAATTTTTGTGAGTAGGGAAAGGTAGGGGTCCTGTTTCATTCTCTTGCATGTGTCTATCCAATTTTCCCAGAACCATTTATTGAATAGGGCTTCTTTTCCCCAGTGTACATTGTTATCTGCTTTGTCAAAGACCAGTTGTTTTTAGGTAGATGGTTTTATATCTGGGTTCTCTGTTCCAGAATTTACAAAGAACTCAAGCAAATCAGCAAGAAAAATAGAAACAACCCTATTAAAAAGTGGGAAAAAGCTTTCGGTTTTCGGCTCAGAGGAGACCAAGGTGCAACTTTCTTCGGTCGTCCCAAATCCGGGTTCATCCGACACCAGCCACCTCCACCATGCCGCCTAAGTTCGACTCCAATGAGATCAAAGTCGTATACCTGAGGTGTACTGGCGGCGAAGTCGGTGCCACGTCTGCCCTGGCCCCCAAGATCGGCACCCTGGGTCTGTCTCCAAAAAAGGTTGGTGATGACATCACCAAGGCAACTGATGACTGGAAGGGTCTGAGGATTACAGTGAAACTAACTATTCAGAACAGACAGGCCCAGATTAAAGTGGTACCTTCTAACTCTGCCCTGATCATCAAAGCCCTCAAGGAACCACCAAGAGACAGAAAGAAGCAGAAAAACATTGAACACAACGGAAATATCACTTTTGATGAGATTTTCAATATTGCCAGACAGATGCAGCACCGATCGTTAACCAGAGAACTTTCTGGAACCATTAAAGAGATTCTGGGCACTGCCCAGTCTGTGGGCTGCAATTTTGATGGCTGCCACCCACATGACATCATAGATGACATCAACAGTGGTGCAGTGGAATGCCCAGCTAGTTAAAAAGTACAAAGGAAAATATTTCAATAAAGGATCATTTAACACCCCCCCAAAAAAAAAGTGGGCAAAAGACATGAACAGAAGTTTCTGAAAAGAAGACTGACAAATGACCAATAAAAATATGAAAAAATGCTCAACATCATTAATTATCAGGGAAATGCAAATTAAAATTACAATGAGATATCACCTTATCCCAAGTACAATGACTTTTATTAAAAAGTCCAAAAACAATAGATGCTGGCATGAATGTAGAGAAAAAGGAACACTTATACACTGTTGGTAGGACTGCAAACTAGTACAACCTTTATGGAAAACAACATGAAGATTCCTCAAAGAACTAAAAGTAGACCTACCATTTGATCCAGCAATTCCACTACTGGGTATCTACCCAAAAGAAAAGAAGACTTTTCATCAGAAAGACACATGTTTATTGCAGCACAATTCAATCAACCCAAGTACCCATCAATTTATGAATAGATTAATAAAATGTGGCATATGTATGCTATGGAGTACTACACAGCCATAAAGAAGGATGAATTAATACCTTTTCAACAATCTGTATGGAACTGGAGACCATTCTCCTAAGTGAGGTATTGCAAGGATGGAAAAAGAACACCATACATACTCACTATTAAATTGGAACTAACCAATCAGCACACATGTGCACAGAGGGAAGTAAAACATAATGGAAATTAACCTGGGGGGATTGCAGACAAGGAGAAGAGCAAAAACCTACCTAATGGGTACAATGAACACGATTTGGGTGATGGACACACCTATAGCTTGGACTCAAGCATTACAAAATTGATCCATGTAACCTAAAACATTTATATACCCTTAATATTTTTAAATTAAAGAAACTTTAAAAAAAACAAAGAAGAACTAATACCAATCCTACCGAAACTATTCCAAAAAATCGAGGAGGAGACAGTACTCCCAAACTCATTCTATGAGGCCTGTATCACCCTGATACCAAAACAAGACAAAGACACAACAGAAAAAGAAAACTATAGGCCGATATCTCTGAGGAACACAGATGCAAAAATCCTCAAGAAAATACTAGCAAATTGAATTTAACAACACATTAAAAAGATTATTTATCATGATCAAATGGTATACATCCCAGGGATGCAAGGATGGCTTAACATATGCAAATCATCCATCAATGTCAATGTCATCCATCATGTCAACAGAATTAAGGTAAAAAAAACATATGACTGTTTCATTTGATAGTGAAAAAGCATTCACTAAAATTCAACACCCTTCATCATAAAAACTCTCAAAAAACTGGGTATAGAAGGAACTTACCTCAACATGATAAAAGCCATATATGACAGACCCACAGCCAGTATCATACTCAATGGGGAAAAACTGAAAGCCTTTCCTCTAAGCTCTGGAGCAAGACAAAGATGCCCACTTTCACCATTATTATTCAACATAGTACTGGAAGTTCTAGGTATAGCAATCAGAAAAGAGAAAGAAATACAAGGCATCCAAATTGGAAAGGAAGAAGTCAAATTATCTTTGTTTGCAGAGGATATGATCTTATATCTAGAGAAACCTAAAGACTCCACAAAGAAACTATTGAAACTGATAAATTCAGTAAATTTGCAGGATACAAAATCAACATACAATAATCAGTAGTGTTTCTATATCCCAACAGTAACCAGTCTGAAAAAGAAATCAATCACATTTACAAAAGCTACAAATAAAATACAATACCTAGGAATAAACTTTTTGGGTTTTTTTTGTTTGTTTGTTTGTTTGTTTGCTTGAGACAGAGTCTTGCTCTGTCACCCGGGCTAAAGTGTCATGGCATCAGCCTAGCTCACAGCAAGCTCAAACTCCTGGGCTCAAGCGATCCTCCTCCCTCAGTCTCCCAGAGTGCTAGGATTATAGGTATGAGCCACCGCACCCAGCCCCTAAGAATAAACTTAACCAAAGAAGTGAAAGATCCCTATAATGAAAACTATAGAACATTGATTTAAAAAATTGAAGATGACACAAAAAAGTGGAAAGATATCTATGCTTGTGGATTGGAAGAATCAATATTGTTAAAATGTCCATACTACCCAAAGCAATCTACAGACTCAATGCAATCCTCACGAAGTATCAATGACATTCTTCACACAAACAGAAAAAAAATAATCCTAAAATTTATATGGAACCACCAAAGACCCAGAATAGCCAAAGTCATCCTGAACAAAAAGAACAAAACTGGAGGAATCACATTACCTGACTTCAAATAATACTACAGAGCTGTAGTAACCAAAACAGCATGGTATTGACATAAAAACAGACACACAGACCAATGGAACAGAATAGAGAAGCCAGAAATAAATACAGACATCTATAGTGAACTTAATTTTGACAAAGGTGCCAAGAACATACAGTGGGGAAAGGCCAGTTTCTTCAATAAATGGTGCTGGGAAAACTGGATATCCATATGCACAAGAATGAAATTAGACCTTTATCTCTCACTATATATAAAAATTAAATCAAAATGGATTAAAGACTTAAATCTAAGACCTAAAACTATGAAGCTACTGAAAGAAAACTTTGGGAAAATGCTTCAGGGACATTGGTTTGGGCAAGAACTTCTTGAGTAATATCCTCCAAAGCACAGGCAACCAAATCAAAAGTGGACAAATGGGATCACATCAAGCTAAAAAGGTTCTGCACAGCAAAGAAAACAATCAACAAAGGGAAGAGACAGCCCACAGAGTGGGAGAAATTATTTTCAAACTACCCATATGACAAGGGATTAACAACTAAAGTATGTAAGGTGTTCCAACAACTCAATAGGAAAAAAATCAAATAATGCGATTAAAAAATGGGCAAAGGGTCTGAATAGACATTTTTCAAAAAAAGACATACAAATGGCCAATAGATACATGAAAAAATGCTTAATGTCATTAGTAATCAGAGAAATGCAAATTAAATCTACAATAAGATAGCATCTCATACCAGTTAAAATAATATTTATCCAAAAGACAGGCAATAACAAATGCCAGCAAGGATGTGGAGAAAGGGGAACCCTCATACACTGTTGGTGGGAATGTAAATTAGTGAAACTGGTATGGAGAACAGTATGGAGGTTCCTCAAAAAACTAAAAATAGAACTACCATATAACCCAGCAATCCCACTGCTGGGTATATATACAAAAGAGGGGAAATCAGTGTATGGAAAAGATACCTGCATTCCCATGTTCATTGCAGCACTATTCACAATAGCCAAGATTTGGAATCCACCTAAGTGTCCATCAATGGATGAATAGATAAAGAAATTATGGCACATATACACAATGGAATATTATATATCCGCAAAAGGAATGAAATCCTGCCATTTGCAACAAAATGGATGAAACTGGAGAACATTTTGTGAAGTGAAATAAGCCAAACACAGAAAGACAAATGTTGCCTGTTCTCACTCATATGTGGGAGCTAAATATTAAAAACAATTGATCCCCTGCAGACAAAGAGTAGAATGATGGTTACCAGAGGCTGGGAAGGGTAGCAGGGAGGGGAGGATAAAGTGGGGATGGTTAATGGGTGAAAAAATATAATTAGATAGTTAGATAAAATAACAATATTTGATAGCGCTGCAAAGTGACTATAATCAACAGTAAGTTAGGGTACACTTTAACTAAAAGAATGAAATTGGAATGTTCTTAACACAAAGAAATGATAAATGCCTGAGGTGATGGATACCCCATTACCCTAGTTTGATTAATTCAAGTTGTATATCTGTATCAAAACATCACATGTACCCTATAAAGATATACAACCATTATGTACCCATAATAAACATTTAAAAATTTAAAAAAACAAATACAAAGTGAAAGGAAAGATGGAATCGATTGTAAATTTTAAAAAGTGTAAGCAAACTGATTCCCAAATAAAAGAAGAGAAAGTTTCAAAAGAAATAAGATAAAATAAAATGGCAAATTTTATGGTATATGAATTATATCTCAATAAAGTTGTTATTAAAAAACAGTCAAGGCACAAATTTCCCATCTGTTAATTAAAAACTCTTCTGTTTGTTTTTTTTCTGACTCCGAGTCCTTATCCACTATTGTGTTCCCCCAAACTCAAGTTTGATTATCATCATACCTCTGTCCTCTGTGCTCAACTGGGCTGTTTTTCACTGCAGTACCTCAAGTAATCACTTATAATCAGCACTAATATTCATTTTTTTATTCATAGAAATGGAGAGAACTACACTAGAATTCAACAGTAACATTTTATTGAGTACAAGGAAGAGGTAAGACTCATATGGGGATTGCTTTATTAAAATATGTATTTGGTTATCTATAGTATTTATATTAGGAGGCAAAATGGATGGGGCCATGCCTTCCCTCTTATATTCAGGAAGGAATGAAATCTTCTAATCATCTTTTTGTTCACACTTTTCTAGAAAGACTATGTCTGGTAAGAAGCCATCTCACATCCTCACCCTCACTTCTAGTATTGTTGTCTATAACTGTCACACTATCTGAATTATAATATCTTTTGAAATAAAGAAAAACAACACCAGTCATTGTTTGAAGGGAATTTTCAAATTAAAAAAAATCACAGATATTATTTTTATCCAAAAATGTCATTTTTAAAACAATTAAACATTACTTTAATTCCATGGTTGATATAATTCAACCTCCCAGTCTCAATTGAAACAGCTTTATTATTACAACTTCCTTTAAAATGCTATCATCTGAGGCTCATTTAAATGAAATTGCTAAGATTCTTCAAGAAAGGTGCCAACTGTTCTGCTCCGGTGGTTTATTTGCTAGGTGAGGCAACACACTTTCTAGGGGTGCCATCTCTGCTGGAACCACTGGCATAGGACAAACACTTCCCATGAGAAAGAAGCAGGCAGAGACTTCCTGCTGCCTTGGAGTGAGTTCTGGAAAGCTAAACCGAAATATAAATTAAAATAATATTATTGCAAGTTTTGAGGGTGGCAGAATGATGACTTTACAAACCTAACATGATGAAGTTGATTAATAAGTCTTTTTCATCAAATTATGTCCCCCCACAACATGTGA